CAAGTTGTTATGAACTAGTTTTACGTTATATATGATGTTTAGGTTGTTTTTTAATTCTGAGTAGCAAAGAAGTGTTGCAAGTTTTGATTTTTGAACACATATTTGTGTTAATATATTTAAGTTAGGAAAATAAGCTTTTGAATTCATATGAATTATAAGGGAGCCTGGATTTATAAGAAGCCTACATCTTTAATTACTACAAGGCCCAACTTAATAATGATACTCCCTCTAAAGAGGCTGTAATATCATGCAGAATTACTCACAGTTTGCCTTTTTTTTTTTTTTTGCAGGTTAAGAAGATGGGGAAGGATGGAGGCAACAGAAGTGAATAAAGGAGCTCTAATTTTTCTGGTTTTGCCTTGTTCACGAAGAAGATAGACTAGTCAATTAATTTTTTTGTTTTGTTAGGCCATAATATGTGCGGTAAAAGATGATTGGCAATTAAGGGTATTAGCAATGAGCAGTAATGGCCTACTGGTTGACAAGTCATTCTGTAACAAACTGATCAAATCATATTTATAATATTATTACTTTCATCATCATATGTTACAATACCAAACCGATTAAGGGTGCTATACCTTTTGATTCTTTGCCTTTCTTTTGAAAATAACTGTTTCTATATGATACAGCGTGTTGTTAAGCCAGAATTGTTTGCCATCGAGGACAAAATTGACAATGATGTTAAAGGAGCTAAAGTTTATGTGCATAATGATTGGTTGATAACTCATTTTGTAACAAAGTCATCAAATCATGTTTATATTCAATATTTGTTTGAAATTCTATATTGTTTCTTATTATTGTCATTATATTACCAATATTATTTTGTGTAGATATATTGTTTCTTATAAAAGTAAAAACTTAGTTATAAAGTGATATTTGACTTTTGATGAACATTGGTATTATATCACATTATCACAAGAAAAAAATATTCACAAAATAATATCTCAAATATCATTAGATACATTAGCAAGTGATAGTGTGACTATTGACAAGTGACATAGCCACTATTGACAAGTCACAGTTCACCATTGACAAATCACAGTACAACCATTGACAAGCCACAGTGTTACCATTGACAAGTCACAGTACAATCGTTGACAAGCTTGATAAACCCAATCCATTGTAGCTCCTTAAGAAATCCACCGTGGGGCTCGGAGTAGAAAGAAGAGGAAGCATTCTGTAATAGGTGCTGCGGCGCCTAGATAAATATGTTGTAGCGCCTACAAAAAATTCTTGCCCTTGATTCTATGGTTGACAAGTCACAGTGCAACCATTGACAAGCCGCAGTGCCAACATGAACAAGTCACAGTGCGCTTGTTGACAAGCTTGATAAGCCCAATCCACCACGGCGCCTTGAGAAATCTGCCATGGCACCCTGGGTAGAAAGAAATGGGAGGCATTCTGTAATAGGCACTGTGGCACCTAGACAAAATTCTTACCCTTGATTCCATGGTTGACAAGTGACACTGCAACCATTGACAAGTCACAGTACCACTGTTGACAAGTCACAATGCCAACATTGACAAGTCACAGTGCCACCATTGACAAGTCATAATGCACTTGTTGACAAGTCTGATAACCCCAATCCGTCGCGGTGCCTTGAGAATTTTGATTATTTGTAATTACATGCAATCCAATAATTTTTTTTGTGTGGATCGGTTGTGAAATAAGTGCATTTTCATGTATATAATGGTGTAAATGAAAGTTAGATATAAATTAGTATGTTAGATTCTGCTGTCATTTGACTTATAATTATTGCACCCTGTATTGTCAATAGACCTATTCTGACTTGTCACTAATTACATTATGACTTGTCAATTAATCGCAATATAACTTGTTAATGGTTGCTCTATGACTTGTCAATGGTGGTACTGTGACTTGTCAATGGTGGCAATGTAGCTTGTCAACGGTGGCATTGTGGCTTGTCAATAGTTGCACTGTTCCTTATCAACCATGGAATCAAGGGTAAGAATTTTGTCTAAGTGTCACGGAGCCTATTACAGAATGCCTCCCATTTCTTTCTGCTCAGGGTACCGTGGTGGATTTCTCAAGGCGCCACGGCGGATTGGGCTTATCAGGCTTGTTAACAAGCGCACTGTGACTTGTCAATAGTGGCACTATGACTTGTCAATGTGGACACTGTGGCTTGTCAATGGTTGCACTGTGACTTGTCAACCATGGAATCAAGGGCAAGAATTTTGTGTAGGTGTTACGACGGATTTATATAGGCACCACAGCACCTATTACAAAATGCTTCCCCTTCTTTCTGCTCAGGGTGCCGCAGCAGACTTCTCAAGGGGCCGCGGCAGATTGGGCTTTTCAGGCTTGTCAATAGTTGCATTGTAACTTATCAATGGTAATACTGTGGCTTGTCAATGGTTGTACTGTGACTTGTCAATGATGAACTGTGACTTGTCAATGGTGGCCATGTCATTTGTCAATGATCGCATTGTCACTTGCCAACGTATCTAGTGATGTTTGAGAAATTATTTTGTGAATATTTTTTTTTTGTAATCATGTGATATAATATCAATGTTTATTAAAAGTCAAATATCACTTCAGAACTAAGTTTTTACTTTATAAGAAAAAATATATCTACACAAAATAATATTGGTAATATAATGACAATAATAAGAAACAATACAAAATTTCAAATAAATATTGAATATAAACATGATTTGATGACTTTGTTACAAAATGCGTTATCAACCAATCATTATGCACATAAACTTTAGCCCATTTAACTTCATTGTCAATTTTGTCCTTGATGGCAAACAATTCTGGCTTAACGACACGCAGTATCGTATAGAAACATTTATTTTCAAAAGAAAGGCACAGAATCAAAAGGTACAACACCCTTAATTGGTATTGTAACATATGATGATGAAAGTAATAATATTATAAACATGATTTGATCAGTTTGTTACAAAATGACTTGTTGACTGGTAGGCCATTACTACTTATTGCTAATACACTTAATTGCCAATCCTTAATTGCCAATCATCTCTTACAGCACAAATCATGGCCTAACAAAGCAAAAAATTAATTGATTAGTCTATCTTCTTCATGAACAAGGCAAAACCAAAAAAATTGGAGCTCCTTTGTCCACTTCTATTGCCTCCATCCTTTCCCATCTTCTTAACCTGCAAAAAAAAAAGGCAAACTGTGAGTAATTCTGCATGATATTTTAGCCTCTTCAGAGGGAGTATCATTATTAAGTTGGGCCTTGTAGTAATTAAAGATGTAGGCTTCTTATAAATCCAGGCTCCCTTATAATTCATATGAATTCAAAAGCTTATTTTCCTAACTTAAATATATTAACACAAATATGTGTTCAAAAATCAAAACTTGCAACACTTCTTTGCTACTCAGAATTAAAAAAACAACCTAAAGATCATATCTAACATAGAACTAGTTCATAACAACTTGTTCATACCAGTTGCAAAAATTCATATCCAAAAATTCAACCATCTTATCACTACAGTTCTACCTAATCTATATTTATGGACATCACCCAACACCAGAAAATATAACATATAACAGTTTCAAGACATGGAAAGGCACGTTTTCTCTTCATTGCACTCTCTATAATCTGTCTAATTAACTCTTATATATCACAAGATATGTTTCAAATCACATTATTCTCACATCCTTATTCCAAATTCATGTTTTTTTAACCAAATCCACTGCTACAATATTAGACAAAAGAATGAAGAAGAGTGGGAAAAAAATTCAAATTTGACATAAACTATAATTCCCTGCTCTAAAAATTTGGGAGTCACGCACCTCCACAAGTTCTATGCATCCCAGCCATTTTGAATATAGACGTATGGGCACGAATTCATGTGATAATAATACTATGAAGAAATTAATTAAAAGAAACCCAACTCTTAAAAGAAACTCAACCCATTCACGAAAACCACAACCCACAAATTAATGAAAGCCACGAAATTACCACCAAATTCATACCAAAGAACAACATTCAGTTTAAGCAAATCGAACAAACATTATAACAAGGGGCAAAACAATAATGGAGTGAGCCCAGTGATGATAATGACTACTCACCATAAGGAGGATTACTGAAGGCTCTGCTTCAAACACAAATGAACAGATTGGTGAAGATTGGCGAAAATCACGAGAAGCTTCACTGCAACCACTCTGTCAACGACATTCAATTCAAACGACTCTGGCAACAGTCTTCACTACAACTACTCCAGCGATGACGATAACTTTCAAGACTCCAACGACAGTCAAGTGATTTAGGGAAGGTTGCTGAGAGGATTTAGAGTCAGTTGTTAATGTTGAGAGTGAAGTAATCGAACCAGAAATTGGAAGAAATGAGAGAAGAATCACCAATCGCTGACTTCAATAGACATAGACGATGATTTTGAACGAGCAACCAATCCTCAGCTTTGGTGAAGATGCATGATGATTTGGAAATGGAGGAGCGCATTCAGTGAGCACTTTTTGTTTGAAAACAGGAAAGTTTTTACCGTCTAAATGTGTTTGTCAGGGCAAGAATGTCTTTTTAAGTTTCTAAATATTGCAGCCAAGTCCCTTTGGGACTTTAAAAGAATTATCTGATTTGAGGGGACTTTTTTGCTGTATAGTTGCTTGTGTGGGACCTCAATGTCATTTTCCCTTTAGTTATTGTGTACCATTAAAACTTAATATTTATCTTATACTATTTCCGGGGCCTAATTATAAAGTTATCAGTTTGCAAATGAGGACTTATAATTAAGACCGAAAGTAGTATATTATTTTACACTGCACGACTAAGATATGTGTTTTTAGAAATAAAAAGGTGGAGGAAGTAAATCCCACTTTGATCAATTTTTGCCAAAATTTTTCCCAGCGGAAGAGCTGAATTTTTTTTTTGGGGGGGTTTTACATGAGGGACGGTAAAGTCAATTCACTATGATTTCAGATTCTAGCCGAGTCCCTTAGATTTTGTAAAAGAAAACAAAAGAAAAATGGTGTGGGGCTGCCATCTCATTCGGTCCCCTCCAGGCCATAGCGGTTTCGCGACAAAAGAATGGAGAGAAACTCCCTTTGTTCATTCCTAAAGGACCCAACCTTCTCATTTATTTTCTCTCCACACTGAAAGTGCAAGTTCGTCTCTTTAGGGTTCATGCATCTTCCCGTCTAGAGCAAACCCAATCTTACAACTGCGTTTTGTACGATTTTTATGTGTATGATTGGAATTCATTCTTTTTAATTGCTGGAGCAGCTGAATTTCAAGCTGGGGTTGGAGCTTATCTGTCAGTATGCACAACTTTGAGCTGGATCAGCAAGATCAGAGAGGTATGGGTTATTCTTTGTGTTTTTAATTTCCCCCCATCTTTTAATTTCCGGTTTTAGCAAGTTTTGGCCATGTTTATTTAGCTTTTCTTTCTGGTGGATTGGTTGTTGTACTCTCTGGAATGTTGACTAACCGAGATATCTGATGTCTCTGTACAATTGCCACGGCATTATTCAGTTTACTCGTTGTTTGCTTGCGGAGATGAGACCCATAAAATTTTAATTTTAATGAGTCCACATTTCCACTTTTAATTTTATAGCTTGTGTGTTTATAATATCATGTATGGGGAGCGCCTGAGTCATGATATTTGGTAGCATTGATCCAACTCTGCCTGCTTTTTGAGAGAATGAAGGGAAATTATAAGCTATGCCATACGAGAGTCAACGATCAATTGGGGATTCTTGAATCTAATTTTTGTGCCTATCCTGATATCAGTTTTAAATTTGAAAATTATGATTTTGTGATTTTTTTTGTTTAACCAGAACCTGGTAGGATTGCTGCTCTTGTTGGCTCCTGTCTACCAGTCAAATAAATTACTATTAGGTGGCTGAGAAGAGGAGGCTGGGACACGGACCGATTGCTCAAATCACTACAAGATAAATTTATGAATTCATCCATCTTAATTATCCAGGTTTGATCTCACATTTGACAAGCAATTCCAGATTTGAGGATTATTATATGATTTGTTTCCTTTATTTTTCTGTTTATGGTAAACAAAAAGAAATAAACCAAAAGGAGCATAGAGATGTTTAGTGGTTTCACTAATGTGGTTGGTGAACAATGCTTGTTATTACTATGAAAAACATCTGTTTTTTCGGGCTTTGGGATATTTGTTTTGCTTCATTCTCGTGTTTTCCACGGTACCTTCCAGAGTATTAAGCTAGAATTCCTTAAACAAGTCAATGAATGAGACTTTGGGTTTGTCTATAACTGGAGAAATAGCATTGTGGAAGTTATTAAACTATGGAATGAATTCTTGATGACTGACTGGATATGGTGATTTTTTTCGTTGAAATAAGGCCAATTCATTATAAAAACGATGAAATCATCTTGTTCATAAACTTATCATTGGCCTCTCATTGTGACTAGATGTTCAGGATCATTGTTTCATTCTTTATTTATTCCGACCTGATCCCCAATATCTTAGAAGGCTCATATTACACAACTCAAATTGTTAGGCTGTAAGCAACCGATGACAATGTGAACTCTGCCCACGATACATTTGAGAAAACTTCCACTTGAAGCATATACCTTTTAGTTGAGCTTACAGCCAAGCCCAGAGATTTGTCAAAGCATTTGCTCTCCTCAATAACATGCTCACAACTGACAAAAGACCCGTTAATTTCACTTTTGCTTGTATTTTATGTTCACGCTTTAAGGATTTTGATTTATCTAGACTGAGACTTGTTCATGAAAGGACTATAGTCTCTGGGTTAGGATTGGACTCTCTTTGTTGTAGTAGTGTACTTGTGATAGCTTATTCTATGTTGGGTCTTGTTAATGAAGCAAGTGAACTGTTTAATGGGATCCCTGAACAGGATTTGGTTTTGTGGGATTCACTGATTATGGCTATGACTATTCTGGTTTCTATGATGGAGGGATGCAAATATTTAATGCAATGCGATGTGCTAGGAATAAACTAGATGGATGTACAATATTTTGAGTAGCTTTTAAGTGTTTCAGATTCTAGCTTGCTAAGCATAGTCCATGGAGTACAATGCTTAAGTTTGATAACTTTGAGCTGACTGAAACTGTTGCTTATTGGCTCTTTGAGAGTGGTTTAGTTAATAGCTTTTACATGGTTATGCTTTCCAATGTATGTGCTGGTGATGATGAGGGGGACGATGTGAAAAGATTGATGGGTAACATAACAGGTGATCCGAGGAAAGTGATGGCTATTTTTGCTAATTTGGAAAATCAAGATGCATGCCTGATTAATTCTTTTTGTAATGTCATGGAACCGTTCATCAGAAGATTTAGTAGTTACTTTAAGCAGATTCATAGATTACCCAGCAATAGTTAGTGTGTGACAATGAATTGTGAAGAAAGCAGCAAAGAAAATCATTGCATTTCGATGCATTTTTAGCTCTACACAATAGAACATTAATCTATATTGGTTTTTTTTCCCCTTCTTATTTAAGATATTTTGTTTTTGATACCTAAGTTAATATTAATCTTGATTATTATTTTTTTCAGATACCAGATTTTCTTTTGAACCATATTAGTTAGGTGGGCATATTACAACTAAGGTAAACTTTCAATATGGAGGATTCCAATGCAATGACTATTGAATTCCTCCGAGCAAGGTTGCTTTCTGAGAGATCTGTCTCGAGAAGTGCAAGACAAAGAGCTGATGAATTAGCAAAAAGGGTACTGTTTTTCTAAGCTAGTTCATAGTCTCATGGAATTAACCTTGTTTGATATTTTACGAGACCCCTTATATGATTCTTTGAATTGTTGTTAAATATGTCAATCAGGTCGAGGAATTGGAGGAACAACTGAAGTTGGTGACTCTTCAGAGAAAGAAGGCTGAGAAGGCAACAGCAGATGTTCTTGCTATTTTGGAGAATCAAGGGATGACTGATTTTTCTGAGGAATTTGATTTGGGCTCAGATGAGGAGATGCCTGGTGAATCTGGTGCTGGTAATGATTCCTCAAAAGGGGAAGAGAGGGCTCTGAGCTCTAAAGGAAGAAGACATGATTCAAATGAGCTGTCAGGTTCTGATGCAGATTCTTCACCAGGAGTTGGCAGAAGCCTATCTTGGAAAGGTCGTATCAGTTCTCCACAGTCTTTTGAAAAGTACAAGAATCATAATGTGAGAAGACGCAGTAGTTTTTCATCCGTTAGTTCAGCAAAGCATCGCCTTGGAAGATCATGTCGTCAGAATAAGTGTAGAGAAAGCAGGCAAGTTGGCATTTTCTGTAATAATTAGGTTTCTGCTTTGACACTTTTAATTACCATCTTTTAGTCTGCTTCTCATTCTTTTGAGCGATATAATTTTTGATTGAATTCTGAGAGTTGTACTTGATTTACTGATAGGATCCAAGTTAGGTAGACAGAACGAAGGAAGAAAAGTCTTTATTAAAATATGAAATCAGAATCCAGCTTCATGAAAGAAGATGAAGGAAAGTCTCTATTAGAACAGTAGCAAGGATCTTAAACTCATACAACTAATAAAGCCTAAAGGGAATCTCCCAAAATTACAATGGATCCCCAAATCTACTCTGCCTATTCCTACTAGCTACTGTCCTACTTATGATATAAAAATAAATATTAAATAATAAATCATAAAATAACTGACTAAATCTCAACCAACATTGACTCAGTAATAAACAAATCCTAATTGAGATATTTATTATTAATATCTCATTGTTATTTGTAATAGAAAACAAATTTACTATTCCTAAAAATATGATAACAAGCTGATTCACCACTTCACTCACTGTCCCATGATATAATGTACTCTATCATTTATACTTCTGGTACAGAGTTCCTTCAATTCTTCCTTTCAACTGTTCTACTTGTTACTTCTCAAGGTTTGCGCGAGTATTTTGCCCCTTTATTTGTTCAAGGGCTAGACATAATGATCTTGAACTAGACTCAACGGTGGCTTTTCATACGAGTATCTCAACTATTTCTAAGTTCTAACATCCTCTTTTTGCGTTCCTATCAGTCTATCACATCAATTCTTAGGAATTAAACTTGATTCTAATTGCCCAAAGAGAGGCGACGAACATGATCGTAGCCCATAAGACATATTAAGGCAAGGAGACAACCTTGAAATTTTGACCATCCTTGTCCCTCTGGTTATGAGGGTGACGCGTCTAGGTAGTGGAATGAATCTGCTGTACATATTCCCGTCTGATGAATTATCCATTTCCCACTCTGGTTATGTCAATGTCCTTTTTCCCTTTACTGTAAAATCTTTTAATAAAAGTTATTATCTTATTCATCCATTGCACTCCTTTTTTCCTCTAGAGTTACACTTCTTATATCTAAAATAATCTTATCGAAGAAGTTATAGTATAGCAGCTCCTACATGTGATAAACTCAATGCACTTTGAGCATATTCATTCCAATCTAAGTTTGACAGTTTGTGATCACCTGTGGTAGAACGTCGACCAGTAGAACTCATTATGCCACAATTTATTTGGCACTGTTTAAGGAAAAGAGCTTTCGGGTTTGGGAAAATACTACTATCTGATGGCAAGTAACTAATAAAGTACTAGAATCTGTTCCCCAAAAAATAACGAAGTACTAAAATGAATTGAATATTTCTGCTTCTTGGGAATGTTCCATGAGATCCCTTCATATGCTTTAGTCCAGATTATGCTCCAAGATCAATATATATAAACTCTTTAATTTGGTTATTTTTATCTTTCTCTTTAAACTTTTATCTTCCAGTTTGTTTTTTAATTAATAAATTTTTTCCCCCCAGATCAGTAGTAGAGGAATCTAGAGATGAGCCTCTCAAAGTTAATGGCTACAAAAATGTTGTCCACTCTTCTGAGGGAGGTCCAAATTGTTCAGACAGTTGTTCTGACACTGTGAGAACAGAATCTATAATTCAGGAAAAGGGTAAATCAGAGCTGAAGCTAGCTGACGATAATTATAATGTAGATGAATATGGTGGAGAGAGGGACATGGAAAAGGCACTTGAACAGCAGGCACAACTCATTGGCCGATATGAAGCAATGGAAAAGGCTCAAAGGGAGTGGGAAGAGAAATTTAGAGAGAACAACAACAGTACACCGGTATGCTACATCATAACCTGTTTGAGCCATATGCTCTCTATATGTTGCTACTATAAATTTTCTTGGTGTTTGGTTGTGTATCTACGGCTTTGGGAGGGTGACCCAAATGTGGCTTTGGGATTCTCTGATAAATTCATTTCCCTTGCATTTGTCGGAGAATCCCCATTGCTTAGGTAAGCTAATTTTCCTAGTCAAGACACTTTTCCCAAAATGAAAAACTTGTTAGGACTAATGGTGGAATGGACATAAGAATGAATGAGGCATTTCTATAGAGTATTATGCACCTTATTTTTGAGAACATCTTCAATTGGACTAGCCTATAGGTGTAGCACTTGGAAGTCTAAATTTTTCATTCGCTTTTTTTAGGAGTTTGCAATTCCCATAGATTGCTTGAATCCAGTGGTTGGTGTTCTTTCCATGCAATGAAGCATGGCTTTAGATTCTCTAGCTGATTAAGTTGTGTGCTATTTACCAATATAGTCTCTGGCATTATTTATCAATTAGTTGTGTATGTGAAATTATTTTTGGACTAAAAAGTAGTAGTTTTTTTTTTTTTTTTTTGGTGGTTCCATTTGACATTCTTACTCAAACTTCCTTTTTGGTCTTAAATCATGTAGGACTCATGTGATCCCGGAAACTACTCAGATATCACTGAGGAAAGAGAAGAAAGCAAGGCCCAGACGCCATCCTCTGCTAGGGTGGTTACCACAGAAGAAGTTCATGAGGCAAAATCAGAAGCTGGTTGTGCTTCTATATCCCAAGAATTGTTTAAAGCTGAAACCAGAGACAATGTGTCAAAATCACATGATACTGGCAGACACCACAATCCAAATATTGTGACAGTCAGCGGTTCTGACTTGATTGCTCAAGATAATTCAGATTCCGTGCTGGTGGGGAATGAGAGCTCAGAAATATCCCATCATCAGCAGTCAGATAGACGGCATCAAGGCCCACATAGTCTCGGATCTAATGATTCCAAGCCAACTGATTCTTTTTCCACTGATGTCTATGATGGCCTGGCCCAGAAAGATCCTTCTAGCAGTTCAAGGAACAAACATGACCTCTATGCGTTGGTTCCTCATAAACCTCAGGAGTTAAGTGGCGTACTTGACTCACTTAGACAAGCCAAGTTGTCACTACAGCAGGAACTCAATAGGCTGCCCCTAGTAGGTGATGGTTACACTGGTAAAGCCATTAAAGCTTTAGGTTCTTCAAGTAAAACTGAGGAGAGATTAGATATTCCCATTGGATGTTCTGGGTTGTTCAGGCTACCGACAGATTTCTCTGATGAAGCTCCCGGTAGACCAACTGCTATTAATTCAGCTTCTCACTTGAGTTCAAACTTTTATCCTGATAAAGAAATTTTAAGAACTTCCGTTAACCAACTTGGCACGGGCCCTTACTTTGGTAGCAGCTCGAGCCCTTACTTGGGTAGCAGCTTGGGCTTCTCTCCGGATCATCATCAATCTCTCACCACCCGTTCCATGGAAAGCGGGTCACGATTTGAGCCTAAGAAGCCTCCTTTTGATCCTTCTTTGGATTCAGGCTTACTGGCTTCTAGTAATAATATGTATCCCACCTATCCCATCTATCCATCCTATCAGAATTTGACACCTCAGATGCCCTTCAGCGATGGACTTTCAAGACCTTATCCGAGTAGACCAGTTGGGAATCCTCCTGCAGGCCACTTCCCTTTATATGATGATCATGCAAGACAAAACATGTATAGATAGGATTTAGAAGGTCTGTGGTTCCTCTAGGTTGCTAACTTCTACGTCACCCACGTTGTTGAAGTAATGGTTGTATTGTTAATAAGGTGAATGAATATTTGTATTCTCTATAGTTGCTTGGGAAGAGGACACTTGAAAAAGGACCCTATTTGATCTCTTTGGAATCTAAACCCTGGTGGATCACTCATCTTTCATTTATGGAGGTCTATCTCCATTTCCCATTTTTATCCCCACTGGGGCTTATGACCCATCCAATATTAGCCCAATTGTTTTTCTTTTAACTTTGTCAACATTTTCACAAGATAAAAACAACTATGAATGTAACTAAGTCCAGTAGAAGGGATTAATTTCTTATAATGTGGTGAAGCACGGTTTGAATCTTTGCAGGGAAAAGTATCCATATTTAATGCCTAACAGTGTCTTGAATAAAAGGATACCTGTATCTGCAAAAAAAAAAAGAAGAAAAACAACTATGAATGTAACTATTCTCATATGTCCACCGTTTCAGGTGGAACATCTCATTGGGAAATCCATAAAACGTAATTTTTGTTTTTTTTTTTTGGGTCGAAAAATGGGTATTATTTCTTGTAAAGGGAAAGTGCTTGGATGAAAAACTTAGGGTCCGTTTGATTGAATACATAAATAGTTGGTAATGGTCATCAGGCCTATTTACCCATTATGGTAACATTACAGTACCATCCTTTTTTGCCTCTAACCAAATGGGTCCTTAAAAGCTTTTGTGTTCTGCTATTTGTAAAACGTGGCGCCCCAAAAATACATACAAATGAAACTATAATTATAATTAGTTCTCGCCATCATTTTGCTTTTAATAATATTTACAGTTTGACATCAATTTAAAATGAATATGCAAGTTTAAAAACTACGAGAGGATCATCGGGACTTTTGCACTTTAAGATTTCGGGCTCAAGCATAAGCATTTTTTTAATATACCTTGAAAGTTTCCTCCTGAATCATTATGTGAGTTGACATGAAGTCCTTGAAGGATATCATCTTCCAAATAAAAGCATCAGCTTCTAATTAATTAATTAAGTCTGATTAATTTGAGAAATAAAGACTTAGCTACTTTGATTATGGTTAAGAACTTGATTTATAATTCTTGTATATAACCCTACAACTCTTGTCTATAGGGCAAAAAACTAGTTGAAAAACTGTACTTATTCAATTCTAAATATGAGAACTAGTTGAAGAGTTTGTTTTTGTTATAAATATAAACATTTGATATAAATAATTAATTTAACTAAATTTTTTAAGGATTAACGTGTAAATTTGTATAAAAACTTTTGGTTCAACAATAATATTGCTTTGAAAGTTTTTTAATAAATTCAATGTCACTCAAAAGTTTCAAAACACAACAATATTGTCCTATCTTTTTTTAAAAAAAAAAAACTAACATCAGTAGTTAAGAAATTGACGTTGAATAATAAAAGGCAACATTGCTCTATTTTGACATTTTCGGGGCAATTTTAAATCCTCAACCTTCAGATAACATTGCGCTTGAGCAAAAATTTATAAAATAAATTTACACCTTAACCGTTTTTTAATATATGCAAATTTATTATGCAACTCTTACATATAAAAGTGAAGGAAATATTTTTCACTCTCAATACACTGTCAGTGAAGGGTAGTCTTTAATCCCTTGTGAGTAAAAGAAATTACGATAGAAAACAGCGTGTGTTTGGATGAAACCAAACTGTAGTTTGGAAAAGTGATTCTGGAGAATAGATTCTGGAAAGAATATATTTTATGAAAAAGTGATTTTGAGAAGTGAGAGTGTTTGGATAGTTGTTATCAGAAGCACTTTTTATATATACAAATTACTAAAAAAAAGACATAAGTTAATATGATAATTACAAAAAAAATAGATTTTATGATATATTTTAATTTGAAGGAATAAAATTGTTAATAATATATTTTTTATTAACATAATTAATAATACATAAGATAATATAATTAATAATTAATTAATATGTATATATATTTATAAAATATAAGATTAAATATGTTTATAAAAAATATGTTTATAAAAAAATAACAAGATACATATCCTATAGGCTCTTACATTCTCTCTTTTTTCTCCAAAAATAAAAAAATTTTGTTTTTTTTAAAACCATGGTTTTGGTTTTTGAGTGAGTGTTTAGGTGATTTATTCTCCAAACCATGGTTTAGGTCCCCAAACCATGGTTTGGGTGTCACCCAAACACAGCAAATCGTTGTTTGAAATATGAGTTTATCCTTTTAGACATTTCTTTTAAAGAAATGTATGGCATAGATAACGTCTAACGTCGAAGTTTCCAGTGACAGAAAGTCCTAAATCTGCAAGTAACCCACATCTCCAAGTAACAATTACAAGTCTCATCAGGAGTTTACTTGTTTCCTTGATCTACGACAAGTCAAATTTTCAAAAACACCCGGTTTTTTGCCGTCATCCAGCAAATCTGAGTATTCAGCATCTATTAAGATTCTTCTTGAAAAATAAAAAGAAGATGGCTGCAAATTCTTCTGTAAGGTTTTTTTTTCCAAGCTTGCACACTACGGTACCCTCCATCTCCCTATATAAACACAGCTCAAAGGTTAAATCTTTGCACATAGGCTTGACATATCAAGACCAAAACTCTCCCTCAGATTTTCAAATCCCATTAATCCCAAGAGTTGTACGTCCGTAGAAGGATTGAAAGAAGCAAGAAAATCTCACAAGCAAGCAATGCCACCTATTGCAGCGAAACTGTTTGACAAAAGTCCTAGCGGCATGCTCAAGAATGATTTCGGGGACATGTGCAATCAGTACTATGGATTTCAGACAGAGGCAGGAAAATCCGCTGATCCGAGGATTATGAGGTTGCTGGAATTCTTCAGGCATCTGTATTACCGAAGAGAAGAGACATTTCAGAAGATTGTTCCTTCTGGGCTTCTAGGGGAATTTGAGGAACTGTTCAACAAAATCGGAGCCTTGTTCTCTGGGATCAAATCGAAGCACAATGTGAACACGATTCAGAGAAGTTTGAGCGTGGGCCAACGGTCACTTGCTGGCGGTTCTGATTTGAAGTTGGATCGGTTTAAGGTGAGAACCGTTCTTGTAGATAATGACAACGTTGGTGACAAGGGAAATACTGCTAGCGGCGGTAAGGATGTTAAAGGAAGATAAGGCCACAAGCTTACTAAACTTCTGAGATTATAAATAGGATTCAGTTTGTAACCTTTCAGGTATCAGGAAATCTTTATATTGCTAGATTATAAAGTTATTGGTTGATTGCTGAATTGATGCTTGTGAGATGAGGAGGAAAACAATATATGCATAGTATTGTGTGCGCTCAACAAGTCCTTATTTGATTCTTTTTTTTATAAATATATCATAGACATTTATTTTTGTAAATACCGAGGAGTTGAATAACATAAGCTATCTGATTTTGATATTGCTTAACTACATCTTTTTGTTGTTGATAAAATTCCCCTACGTTGTCCCTTAGATTTGAGAATTTGGATTATGATGATCTATCCATTCGTCCTGAAGCCAGCCTGAAGAATTGGGATCGAGGGTATTGAGGTTGTTTTGGCATTGGATTCAGGGTTATAAGCTTCCATCTGATACGAAACATTAAAAATAAGGGATACGGATTGTAATTAAGATTGAAAAACCTTCTTAAAAACATATTTAGTATGAGAAATTTCTTATTACATGAATTAAACAAACCCATATATGTGGGATTGGAGAATACTATGGTAGGATGTGATATTTTCCAATCCTATTTCAATAGGTTCATCTAATCCCATATAATAAGTAATTATTCATGTTAAATATTTTTTTAATGATTTTTTTCAATTACAATCTCAATTCTTATCCCTTATTTTCAGTACTTTATACCAAGTGGAATCTAAAGGTTACGCGTAATCCTAGTTTTGGTAATCCATAAAGTTTTGAAGCTTAACTACCTCTGTCTTCATTTATTTTAACCAAAAAATCATTTAAATCTGCACATTATTTGGGTAAAAAAAAATCTCCTTTAATATTATAACTGCTCACGAACATCAAGTTTCATCAGTCACATGGCAATAAATTCTAGCTCTTCTTCATGATGTTCATATTCTTTCTTTTAAGCTGTATTTTCTTATTTTTTATAGAACATAGCCTAAGTTTTTTTATGTCTTTTTTTGGGCCAGCAAGTTTTTTATGTTTTAGTACTCTGTTTAAAGCTTTATACATATATATGTATATCATTTTGTCTTTTGTAACCAAAAAAAAAAAAAAACTACCTGTCTTTTTCTACTGTTTAAATAATGCCATTTAAGGGGTTCCTTGGTAATAAAGTAATTACTATTTACTTATAATGAAGTTTGGTCTGATTAGTATAAACAGTCTTTAATTAATGACTTTCTAGCTAGCAAATCAAAGCCTAGCTTGCTTAATCTTTTTTTCTTCCAATTTTTAATTTTCCAACTTCAAAATATAAACTTTCATTTAATTTTTTTTAAAATCAATCTTTTAATTTTTACAATTTTGATTCAATTATAACCCATTTTTAATTTTTAGCTCAGTACAATTTAGACCGTATAGTTTTGATTTGACTGTTAGTTAATTTTTGAACCTAAATTGGATGGAACGTAGGTGTCATAATTTAACCGTTAAAAACTATGAAGATTGCGTAGTAGCGTTGTGTTCTAATTAAATCAAAACGATAACGAATTTCTGGACACCCTTCTCCGGCATGAATCCATCAAGTCCAATGCGGTGCTCTGTGTCATTTTCCGAATAATGACAGTGGGGAAACCTTAACACGTGGGTCACAGATAAGACATGTGTACGATGCTTTGGTCTGAGTGCTACAAAATCCTCTTTTTTCTCAAGGGTCAGGATAACTTATTTATTCTCATTCTGATTTTTAAATTATAAATTATAAATTTCAGTCATTTAAATTTTTTTATTTAAAATATTGAACCTTATATTTTAATAAAAATTTAGATCGTTTTATTTTTGAGGGATTAAAACTTATTATTTAAAATTTAAAAGATTAAAACAAAAACAAAAACAAATTCAAGGGACCAAAAATTATATTAATTTTTTTTCTAATTATATTTTCCCAAATTAATTTTTTTAAGCAAAATATCATTGCTCCCAATTAATTAATCTTATTTAAATTCTATATATTATATTTAATTAAAATATTACAGGGGAAAGGTATATAAAAAATCAAAATATCTGGCATCATCGCTCCCAATTATGATTCTTCTATCCCTCCGTTTATATTCTAATAAAGGGGTCTCCAAATCTGCATCCATCAAAATGACACCTTTCTCCATCTTCCCAATCCAACGCTGTCCTTTCTCAGTCCCATCCACTTCACTTCCTCACTTCCATGGCACTTCCACTTTCTAGGCTTCACCTTTTCAGTTTCACCATTCAATACAACAGTTACTTCCTCCTTTGTTTCCTTTCAGTTCTCAAGCTTTCCCTCAGAGGGAAAAAAGATTCTGTGTGATTGACAACCCCTTCTTGATTTACTTCGTTTTCGCTCGCCACTGGGTGTCACTAGAAGATGACACCTGGGCTACCAAGAGGCCTACTTCGTTGTGTACTTGGAATTGGTTGTCTGATTTTTTGAAACAATGAAGGACGTGATCGCTCGTATGTGTTAGTTTGGTTTCGCTGGTTTCTCGTTTCGAATTTGAATTTGGGGCGTTTGATTGGGAAATTTTGGTCGTTATGATATCTTCTGGGGTTAACTTGGTGATGACTGTGATTGGATTTGTGGTGAGCACTATGTTTATCGTTTTCGTTTGCACTAGACTCATCTGTGCTCGAATTCACTTAAATGCTTCTCGCCGATCCCTCCTTGTTGCTTCCAGATCCAATCTCAGTCTGGTAAGCATCGATTTGCGTTGTTTCAACCTCGTGTCTCTCTGTTTGTAATGTGTTTATTTTTCTTAAGTTGTATCGTTCAATTGTTTGATAAAATCATGTAATTTAATTGCATTTTATGAATTTGCCCTTTCATAACAGTGCTCTATTTCCATTTAGTGCATTTCATTTGCTCTGAGGATTTATTCATTGAACATGTTCCCGTGTTCAGCTGGAGCGAGGATTTCATGGTCTTGAACCCATAGCAGTAGCGAATTTCCCAACGAAGAAGTACAGTGATGGATGCTTTGCTGCTGCAGAAAATTCTCAGTATGTTCATTTCTCTGTCTTTGAAATATTATCATCATCTGTAGTGTCGATGTTGTTTTCCCATGCGCTCTCTTTAATATAGGAAGGGGCATGAATGATGGATAATTGTATATTGACTTGGCAAGTATTGCTTGGTGCTTGAAGATCAGATTTATTCCTATTAATTTGTTTCAAAATCAGGAACAAAGTTGATTTCAGAGTATACGTTACTCATTGGTCATTTCATTTGAAAAATAAAAATGGAGACTGGATTTGGTAATGAAGTCGACTCTGAACATTGCCAGGAACCGTAGTCAATGAAGGACTTGTGTGAGTGAATGAAATGCACTCTCTGGGTTTATGGCCATCTATGTCATGAGTTTAGATACTACTATATGTTTGCTCCCTTGTTAATCTGTTAATTGATTGACAAAGTCAGTCCCCTGCCAGGGAAAGACTGATGATATATATATTTGATTCTCCCAGCACTTTCTGCTTCTATGTGAAGTTGCAGTTTTATAAGGGAAAAGTTCAGTACGCTTTTGGAAATTACTGTTTCCTAATAAAACTATTTTTAGTTAAGCTGGGAAAAAGTTGGGATAATCTTACTGTCCCAAGTAGAAGTTAGGAAAAAGGAACATATTGCATTTTGGTATGAGCATCATCGGCCACGAGTGCCCTTCCTTATCATGTCCTTCTGAAGACGCAAATCCACCATTTTTAACTTTATTCTCTTAGTTGGAAGGTATTATCACTGTTGTGACTTGATCCAAGGATGTGAAGAATGATCCATGTTCTTTCTGCCCCACTTTGACAGAAATGACTTTTTTTCTTTATTGGTGCCCCATTTTGTTATGATCGTTCTTCAGTTTTGCATAATGAAGAGCTTAGAATGGTCCGGTTTTTGCCTGATGTTCAAATCAGTGATGCGGAGCCCACTTGCTCCTTGAATAACTGAGAAAAATCTTTCTACGGTATGCTTTTCAGAGAAAGTATGTTTTGACTCGTTTATTCTTCATGGTACAGATAATGTTTTTACACTAGCTGGATTAGGACTATTGTTCATCAGCAGTCTCTTGAATAGAGTTTGATATCATAATCTTTTTTTGTCCACTTACTGCACTTGTGCTGATATCACAATATGACTTCTTATTTCTTACTTTTGGTGACTTTGGATTTATTAAAAGCCTTGTAGATTGGGGCATTCTCTGATAATTATGTCTTTCTTATGAACATTTGTATTTGTTGATGTATAGATGCACAGTTTGTCTATCGGAATACCAAGGTGAGGATGTACTACGCATCCTCCCGTATTGTGGACACTTCTTCCATGCAACCTGCATAGACCTATGGCTGCAGCAACATTCAACATGCCCAGTTTGTCGAATCTCATTGCGCAAATCATCCGAGAGGAAACGCATAATGCAACCATTGTTCAGTGCTGTTGTTCGATCCAATTTTGGTGTGGAATCTATCGAGGCTTATCCTTATCACTGTATGATGTCTAATAATGAGTTATCATCAAGAAATTCTGATATACAAGAGGATCATTGCGCAGCTGAAGGTGGTGGAACGGTTGCTATAGAGAATGTCACCAATTTAAGTGATGTTGATCAGTCCATGAAAGATGCAGAAAAGAAGCATTTAGAGAGCCCATCAATCCCTTTAAGCTAATGTGGCCTGAACAGGAAATTGAGGTAGAGTTATTATATATGCTTCTTAGTTGTAGTAAAGTAAAGTAATATGCTGGGGGGCCGCTTCTTGTTCTTAATTTTAATTGATTTGCTGTATATATAGTAGAGATCTTTTGTTGTCTCACTGTCTTCTTTCTTGAAAACTCTCAAGTCTCAAGTCTCAAACTCAACTCTCTTTCATATAAATCATTTTATAGTTTGAATCATGTAATTTTTGTTGTTGTTGAAATTATTAACGCAGTCAGATAATTTTTAATCTAAATTTGCTTAAGCCTTAGCTTCACATAAATGTTACTGACGATTTTTAATTAATTGCCTTAGAACTACTTCTTAATTAGCAGCCATCTTGTTATGTACTTTAAGCGAGGATTTATAAATTTGTGAAGCGAAATGGACTGAAATCTTCTATTTAGAATCAAAGTGAGTTCCTTATCTAACTCTTATATTCATAATCGGAGGTAGTAATATTTACTCTCAGTTTCCTTTCTTGATCTTTCCTCCTGGATATTTCATGTTTATTGAAGAGTTGGAGCTCCACTCTCACTTGCATTGCCATTCATCTGACCTACTAGGCTATTTAAGTGGTCCATAAAGGGTATATTACAGCTTTTAATCAGTTTGGACTGAACCGAATTTTGGTGGTTGGGTTTAAGATTATAAGCTGATTAATTAAATATGAATTATAATATAAAGTTAATTTTGGTCCATATTTGCAACAGGAGAGGCCCCCCCCCAAAAAAAAAGAACAATATAAACCTGGCCTCAATTTTGTTTTGTTGCATTTATAACAGCAGGAAGTTAAATAATTGGGGAGATACAATTACTCAAAAGTCAATAATTGGCAATCCTAATCACTTATTATTAGGATTTTTTATAATTAAATATCTTCTTTAGTGCCTTCAATTTCTCCTTAAATGTATTTTCCATTTCAGTTCACATACGTACATGGTTGCTCCTTACTCCACGTGCACTGTGGTGGAGAGGGCAGGAAAATTCAAATGGCGACGTGGTGAGTTTCATCACGCAGACGGGTGTGATACCGTTAAGGGACATAAATGCAATAGTGTCTGGGAAGGCATGTGGGACGGCGAAAATTGCGGTCAGTGAGTTCTTTCCCCCATCACCCCCAACTGTAGCAGCACTGCTGCTTCCACAATCTGGCCGACGGGGTTTGATTGTGACGTAACAAACTAAGAGACGAATTCTTATTATAAGATATGTCCATATTTAATACTCTTCTGGTTCTTAATAGGTTCTTAATATAAGATTCATTTAACTAATTTGATTAGATTAAGAAAGTTAGGTAAGTTAGTTAATTATAAGAAAAGTGATATATTTTTCCTAAAACACTATAATCATCTTTCTTAATATCCAATCTCCCTCTTCTACTTGGTTATGGTTGAGGGAGTAGCCATAAGGGTAATTTAGAAAAAATTGATAAATATGAGAAATGGGCCTTATATTTAAGACCAAAACCAACTCAACAATTGGGTCCTATATTAAGGATCGGAGGAGTACTACTTTCGGTCTTAATTATAAGATCTAATTGATTAATTTGAAGAGATTAAGAAAATAAGTTAAGTTAGTTATATGTAATAAATATGTGTTATCTTTTCTAAAATATCTTTACTAATCAATTATATTGATTACGACTACTATTATTAGAAGAACTACCTTGAAAAAAAATACATAAATATTAGAAACAAAATAGACTGGGGTTTTATATTTAGGACCAAAATAAAAGTCAAATAAGGTCTTATAGTAAATACCAAAGGTAGTATTTAACAGTACCTTGAACAAATATTAATCACATAATCAATACATTAAAATGAATACAAAGGCAACATAATATGAAATATTTCGAGGTTAACGCATTAAATATCCATGTTATTAACATGTTACATATGAAATAAAGTGAAAAAACCAGTGTAATACTTATAATTGACATGTTAATAACATGTTAAAATGTTAGGTAAAGAATAATTAGTTTAGGCTTTTTTCAATTAATTTCAGGGGTTATGAGTCTCTCAAAACAATTTTAAATCTTGCAAATGATATATCATTAAAAACTCCTGAAATTTAGTTTTCAGTAAAATAAGTTTTCACATAGAGTAAATAATATCTTATAATTAGAATCGGATGTAGTATATGATTGAAAAAATGACTATAAGTTAAAACTAATTCGTTGTGGAATTTGCATCTCAATACTTAAACTAAATTTCTTGTTAGTGCTTATTTACAAAATTTTAAAAAAAATGCTTTTCTCTAAAAAAACTCATGAAAATCATACTTTCTTAGTTTTTTTATAATATTTTTCCATACTTTTAACGTCATAAAAATAAAAACAGTATTTATGTCATTGATGCTGAATATCGATATATTTCTTTTTAAAAATAATTTAGTTAAACAAATAAATCATATATTTTGAAAAAGTATTGTGTAAAGCGAGATGAGAATGATTTTAGGAAAAATTTCAAAAAAATAACTGGTAAATTTTAAAATTCTAAATCAGTATTGATTACTAAATTTGTAAAGAAAATAACTACATTCAAAAAGTAAATAACAACATATTTTTATAATAATTTCTGATTTATTATTTTAAAATTTAACAATTATCTTTTTGAGATTTTTTCATGATCTTATATTGTACCACAACATAAAATTATTATTATTATTATAAAGTTCAGCCTTTTTATATATGCTGCGGCGTGACACGTCCGTAGCTCACGCTCTTCATGGGGTTCCTTCCATGAAAGCGTTGCTTTCACCAAATTAATGAGACCTTGGAATCAAAGAATCAACTCTCTGCTCTCTAGATTCACCGTACAAATGGCGAATATTTGTTATGAACTATTTTGAAAAGATAAAATACGTATACATAAATAGATGACAAATAAAATAAAATAATCACAAAAATTGATGACAAATATTTTGTTATATTTCCATTTAAAAAAAATCAATCTATTTGCTTATATTTATCATAACTTTACCCCATCAAACTTCTTGAGATATGTTTTCTTATTTATAACGAAATACAAAGTATTAAAATTTAACCGGAGAATTCTAGTAACTTGTTCTCATCTGATTAAAGTGGAACCATTCCCATTAAATTATTTTTTCTTCCTATTCCTATTTATAATCCACATTATTAGACTACTCCAGTCTTTAATATAGAACCTAATTATTAAGTTAATTTTAACAATAAATATAATACTTGTTTATCATATTTATAAATTTTTTTAAATTAACCCTATGGATACTCCCTTAACCATAATCAAGTAGAAAAGAAAAAAAAGATATTAAGAAAGATGATTACAGTGTTTTAAGAAAAACATGTCATACTTCTTACAATTAACTAACTTACCTAACTTTTTTAATTTAATCAAATTAGTTAAATAAGTCTTATTCTAAGAATCGGAAGAGTAATTATTTAAGTGATATACATTAAATTTATGTAAAAAGCACATGACCCTTAGAATTATTTAAAGGACTTTGCTCAAAAAAATAATTATTTGAAGGACGTTTAGAATTTACGTAAAAAGCACATGACCCTTAGAATTAGTTAAATTTATCACGGTCTCAAAAAACATCCCAAAAAAAACAGTTCTTATGATTTATGATTAAGAAGAAATAGATAATATACATAAATATATAATATTAGATTGAAATTGTATTGTTTTAAAAGAAAAACCACAAACAAGATATAAATCATATCACACGCGTAAAATAACAACTTTTCACTTTTCAGCTTCTGGGCCTGATCTTAGCTCTGATACTTTCCTTCATCACCACCGTGAACTCCAATTTCCCGGTGAAGTCCACCTTCTTCCCCGGCGGGTACGCTTCCCACACGAACTCCTGCACCATTCTAGCCATCATCAAATGAATATGCACTGTTCCCATACCCAATCCAGGGCATATCCTTCTTCCGGCGCCGAACGGTATCATTTTCACTTCGGATACCCCTGTTATGTCTGCGTCTTCGCCGCCGGTGACGAACCTGTCCGGGTCGAATTTCTCCGGGTTGGACCATAGCTTCGGATCCTCTCCGATGGCTGGAGTGAAGATCTCGATGTTTGCGTCGATAGGGATGTCGTATCCTGCGAGTGTGGTTGGCTCTGTGACTGCGTGCGTGAGAGTGAAGAACGTCGGAGGATGCTTGCGCAAGATTTCTTTCACTACGGCTTGCAGGTATGGCATTTTCTCGACGTCTTTCTCATCTACCTTTTTGGATCCGACTGTGTGAGTAATTTCGTCGAACAGCTTTTGTTGAATTTGTGGGTTCGCTATGAGCCGTGCGATTCCCCATTCTACGGCCGTCGCTGTGGTGTCTGTTCCGCCGTTGAGGAACTCCGAGCAGAGTGAGACCAATTCTGCGTTATTAGGTCCGGATTTCCTTCCTTCAACTTTGAGATCGAAGAGGGTGTCTAGGTAGGAAAACGACGTGGCTGTGTGGTCAGAACCTGGATTTTGGATTGCTCTTCTTCGTTGTTCAATGATTGGGGCTAAGAACTCAATCTGCTCCTTACGAACACTCAAAGCCTTCTTCCTCTGTTCTGAGAAGAAAGGGCTCAGAATTGGGAAGTAATCATCGATTCTGGGGTGCAAGGTGATGAGAACGGATTTCATGACTTGATCTATTTTCTCTATTGTTTCTTCATCCATCTCGAATCCAAAACACATCGCTACAAGTATGCAAAACACAGCGAACCTTGCATTCTTGAGAACCCAAACAACCCCATCATTGGCCTCTGCTTCGGCTTTGAGCCTACTGATGAGTCTGTCCATTGCGTTATCCCTCACACTTCGAAACTCTTTGATCCTGCTTGAGCTAAGCATGTTCTGCACCATGTTTCTTCTGAGTGATCTCCAAACTGGGCCATAAACTGCTGCATTCACAGTGAACTTGTTGGCACTGAAGATATTCCTTGTAGGGTTCTCGGGAGGCCTAGTGGCATAAACTTGACCCTTTTCAATCAGAGCTTGATGAGCCAACTTGGCATCAGTGAGGATGATCATTGTTCTTGTACCCATCTTGAGGGTGAAGATTGGCCCAAATTTTGTTTTGAGTTCATCAATATAATCAAAGAAGGGCTTCCCAGAACGAGCCACTTGAAATAGATTCCCGACAATAGGCCATCCACGGGGACCTGGAGGAAGATTAAGCTTTTTGGATTTGTGGGTGAACAAGAAAATGAGGCCAGAGAAGAGGAAAGCCAAGAGGGTGAGGATGAGGTGGTAGGAGGAGGAAGAAAGAGGAGAAGAAGAGGTTAAAAAAGAGAGGAGTGCCATTTTTGAAAAGGAGATGAGGAAGAAAGTGAAGGAAGAGATGGAGGATGAAGTAAAGGAGAGGGTATAAAAATGGAAGGAGCATGAAATTGCTGGTGAGATTAATTAAAGCCACTCTCAAAAGGTGCCACTGTGCCCACCAAAATAGACAGTGGTGGTTGCGAAGCCAAGTAGAGTACAGTCTAACTGTTTCCTACGGCAAACGTGAAGGTAGGAAATTGTGCCGAGGGTGTAATAGAGGGTTGAGTTAATCAGTTGCGGGAGCATGGATGTTGGCTAATTGTATGCTCTTTACTGTTCCCTTCAAATAATTAATTCAAGAATAACGATTAGTGAGTTAATATTTTTTTAAAAACAATAAATAGGTTAAAAATATAGTTTTATTTAAAAGAATATGTGAAAAAATGTTATAAGAGAATATGGTAAGGGGGAGAAAATAAATAATTGAGGACAAAATTGGAAAAAAAAAACTGCATTAAATATTGGGTTAAGATGCAAATTTGTTAAGGAAATTTTCACTCAAGAGTTCTAAGTATTTAGAATATGTTTGAAAAAAAATTTTGTTTTGAAAATTTAAAATCATAACAATATTATTTTTTACTGAATAATGTTAATTGTTAAAATAGTTGACCATTAACATTTTTAATGACAAGTAGGATAATATTGTTACGATTTTAAATTTTCAAGATAAATTTGTTCTGAAAATTTTTTCGAATGCCTAACATTCCTGAGTGAAAACTTCTGAAGCAAATTTACACATTCACTGTTAAATGTTTAAGCAAATATCAAATTGAGGTTTATAATGTGAGTCATACCTTTTTCTAAATTTCAAGTTTATAAAAGATCTGGAAGAGCTTCATTTAATACAATTATTTCAGGAGAAGATAATATAAAAAATACACTTATGGGCAGAAATAATTGCATAATGGGATGGAGCCCCTT